ATGAATAGGTAGTCAGTAGAGGGAAAAATGAAAGAAAATCATATCCATTTAGAATAAAGGAAACATTCAAAATTCAATGGGAGAAAATGGGTTTCCTATACCTTAAAAAGTCTTTCCATTCCTAAATTTATTTTATTTATTTATTTATTTATTTATTTATTGCATTTATTGCATTTATTGCATTTATTTATTTATTGCATTTATTTATTGCATTTATATGCAATAAATTTTGTGCTATCAAGTCAATTCTGATGTATAGTAACCCTTCCCAGAGTTTTCTAGATAGAGAGTACTCAAAAGTGGTTTACCCCTCTCCCTTCTTCTTGGGGCACTTCTGGTACTTGTGCAGTTTGCCCAAGGCCATACAGGCTTGCTCTGTTGCGCAGCTTTGAATTTCTGGTGAAATTCCATTGCTACGCAGCAGAAGCACAGAGACTCACAAAGGAGAATAACTACAAATTTCCAAGACAGTCCACCCCTTTCTCATTAATTGGCACTTAACAGTCTCAATAACTCACTCTGAGACTTCTGAAGGTAAAAATTGAAAACATCCTGGAATTTAGTAAGCATTAAGGAAAGTCTTTTTGTACTAAAAAAAAATAGAAGTTTGGAGGGAAATTAATAAAGGAAAGTCTTTTTGTACTAAAAAAAAAAAAGAAGAAGTTTGGAGGGAAAATGAAATGCTTGAGATATTAATTTTCCATCTTAATCTGAATTGTATAGATTGATTTGCTGCTGGTAGGTTCTCAACTGTTGGCTTTCATTTCTGAGAAGAACCTAGTTCTCCATGTTTCTAGACCTTAGTGAACCTAGAGATGTGTTTGAATAGGACAGAACTGCAAAACCTGGAGTGGCTAGAATCAACATTATCAGAGCTTAGACTATTACTTTTTGAAAGGAACAGGTTGCATTTCTAATTACATCTAGAGAATCAGGTTGCCATTTTTGTTATTACTTTTCCCACCCAGAAATGTTTAATTGCATTATGCCTATCCAGAAAAAAAACTAAGCAAAATTAAAAACAAAACACAAAACGAAGCAGCATCTGAAATAATCACTTTTATATTCCAATGTCAGCTTTTATGAATAAATCCACTTCATGAAACAGATTAGAATAGATTTCTCTTATTTGAGAATTGCATTTTGCGTGATCAGTTTATTGCATTTCCATATCAAACAGCTTAGTAAATGCAAGGTAAATAATACTTCCTGTGCTTAAATCCTGTCAAAATAATGCCCTTGAAACTAAGCTGTTGTTAATCATTACATCTAATTAACTGAGGTGTTACTTACATTAAACAAATAACAGCTCAGTTAGTTAGGTGTATCTAACAAGTACTGTAATAAAACAAAGTATGTACTTAACAAGCAACTTAAAAACTTTTGTTTTTAACAAGTAACTTTGTTATATTTCTTGTTACATTATGTATGTTTCTTCGTTATATTTCTTGTTATGTAAAAGTTGAACAAAAGGAACTGGTACTACGTCCAGCAAACTGGATTCTGAAGGAGCAACTATAGTTTAAGAAATTAAATCTCCCTTAATTTCAGTTTTAAATGGGTAGGCCTGAGATGACCATCTTGCCTTCAGAATCAGAAAAGTAACTAATTGCAAGTAACTAAATTTTCTGCAACTAGTTACTTTCAAGCTCAGAAAGCGAGTTAACATAAACTTTTTTTTAGATTCAATGTTTGCATTGTCATTCCTATTTGTATCTCTTCTTTCCTTCAGGAAAACGGTTCCCCCATGAATCCGTACCAATCCCAGCATAACAATATTTTCATCTGTGGCTCTTTCTGAGAAGGACATGAAGATGCTGCCAGTGGACCTTGCTCCAGAATGCAAATGAAACCAGAAATTAAGCAGTTGGTGGAAAATTTATTCTGGTGAGAAAAGAGAAAAACAAGGAGAGAGCGAGCAAGCAAGCGAGAGAACTGGAAAGTGAGAGTAACACCTGGAAGTGTGAGGCCATTCCTACAGAAAATGGCCGCCAAGCAAGGGATGGTGGGAGATTGGCCTCCCCAAGTGCAAGCTGCGTTGGAGCCGGGAGGGCAAATAGCGGAGAGAGGTCTGCGAAGTCCCAAAGCAGAGGAAGCATCAGAGAGCCAAAGAGATTGTTTTCCTGCCAATCTAAATGGCGATACCGAGGAATTTCAAAATGAACCGGCATCCACACACATTAAAGAAGAGGAAGGACCAGCCCAGCCGTGGGAATCCCAGTGGCCAGATTTCCCCAAGGAACAGCAGACCTTCTGTGCACGATGGGGGGACCCACGTGTCACAGAAACAACCCCTTGGGGTCACAGTGAGACTTTGCCACCCCATTTTCAGGGAGCAGCTAAAGCCGGCCACCGGCCAAGAAGAGAACGAGCCAACCAGCTCCTGCTGGGTCTCTGTAAAGAGAATCAAGGGGTGGACAACAAGCTGTTAACCAGAGACGAAGCCGAATGTAAGAAGCTTGATCAGAAGATGATTCTGGACGAGGAGGAGGAGGAGGAGACGGTTGGCACGGAGACCCACCGGCAGAACTTCCGGGGCTTTCGCTACCTGGAGGCCGAGGGACCCCGGGAAGTTTGTAGCCGGCTGTGGTTCTTCTGCTACCAGTGGCTGAAGCCGGAAAGGCACTCCAAGGAGCAGATCTTGGAGCTGCTGATCCTGGAGCAGTTCATGGCCGTCCTGCCCTCGGAGATCCAGAACTGGGTGAAGGAACACAGCCCGGAGACTTGCACCCAAGCGGTCGCCCTGGCGGAGGACTTCCTAACGAGACAGGAAGAGCCCCCGAGGGTGGACTGTGAGGCCACAGAGATTCCTGGAGCGCAGGAGGAGAGCGTTGGCTCTTTGTTGCCTTTACAGCATATGGAGAAAGTGGTGAGGGTTGGGGATTCCCCCCACCCACCCCCAAAAGTTCCTCTATTCAGCCCAATTCTAGCTCACTTTTTGCCCTCCTTCCCTGAAGGAAATTCAGGTATGGGAAATATTTGAGGGTTTTTTTTGGAGCTGTTGTCCAAAGAATAAATGTTTCCTATATATTTGCGAAGGCTTTCACGGCCGGGATCTAATGGTTGTTCTGGGTTTTTCGGGCTCTTTGGCCGTGTTCTGAAGGTTGTTCTTCCTAACGTTTCGCCAATCTCTGTGGCCGGCACAGAGACTGGCGACAGAGCACAGGTTGCTGTCCTCTGAAGATGCTGGCAACAGAGACTGGTGAAATGTTAAGAAGAACAATCTTCAGAACTCGGCCAAAGAGCCCGAAAAACCCACAACAACCAATAAATGTTTCCCATCCCTGAGAACTCTTTTCCACAGAATTCAGTTATCTTGTGGAACTCACTGACACAAGATATTTTTGGGAGGAGGAGGAGGAGAAATTAAGCTTTCTCCCTTGAAATGAAGTTGCCATGGGTACCTATTTTATTTTGCCTTGCTACTTCCACTGATATCCTACCTTTCCTCTAGTGAGCTGCAATTTTGTTCTCATTCAAAGACAGAATCCTATGGGAATCCAAAGGAATTTGTGTAAGATTTGGCACCAAATCAGTGCTGATGAACGAGGCTCTAAATGCAATGAGAGCTAACGTTTGCCACCAAGACTTAAGCTGAACTCAAGGTAGCAAGTTTGAGCAAGATCCATGAAGTGGAAGTGAGATGGGAGAGAGAGAATCATTTGGCCCTGGCCGTGTTCCCCAAGCATCCCTTCCCCTCTTTCATTTCGAGCCTTAGAGATGTACCAGCTGAATTAAAATGTATGCAATCAAGAAAATGCAATGAGAGCTAACGTTTGCCACCAAGACTTAAGCTGAACTCAAGGTAGCAAGTTTGAGCAAGATCCATGAAGTGGAAGTGAGATGGGAGAGAGAGAATCATTTGGCCCTGGCCGTGTTCCCCAAGCATCCCTTCCCCTCTTTCATTTCGAGCCTTAGAGATGTACCAGCTGAATTAAAATGTATGCAATCAGGACAAGTCTAACCCTTTTCAAGGGTTTCCAGGTTGAGAATACATAGAAGTGGTTTGCCCTTCCCTTCCTCTAGGGGAAGCCCTGGGACTGTGCAGCTTGCCCAAGGCCACCCAGGCTGGCTCTTCTCCCTGGAGGCACAGGGGGGAATCGAACTCCCAACCATCGGCTCCACAGCCAGAGACCTAAACCATTGAGCTATCCAGTCAGCACCAATCTAATTAGGGACAAACTTTTTAGAGAGAAGGAAAAACAATGACCCTTTCCAGGTGTAATAATGTGTAACTTGGCCCTGAAACACTCATCCTCTCAGGGCAACATCTTCTATAGCATGTATTGGTGGGCCAGCCTGCCTAGGGGTTGGGGGGAAAGAAGCCACAGACACAGCAATAGCCCTGATGCAGGGTGAAGTGGATAAGAGGGTGCCGGAAGGAAGGGAGCTGAGGAATGGTAGGACAGATTACATTTGGGGCGTATCATGCCCCAGATTCCCCCAGTGGTCATATTGGCTGAGGGATTCTGGGAAATTTACAAACTCAGCTTCCTTCAAAGGTGGGATTCAAGGACAGCAACTCCCAACCTTGAATCTCTACATGATCTTGGATTAAAACTTGGACTTAAAAACTCCCAGAAGCTTCATCACAAGCTGTGCTGGCCTGGGATTTTCGGAGAATTGTAGTCTTAAAAACATCTGGGAACCCAAGGTTAGGAACCACTGTTCTAGGAGCCGAAATCCTGACCCTCCCACCCAGCTCTTTCCCGACGCAAAGCATGAACTCTCCAGGCTGCTGATGGCTGGATACCTTAGTGGTTCAGATATACAGTGGTGCCTCACTTGATGGGATAATCAATTCCAGCGAAATTGCTGTAGAGCGAAATCCTCGTCAAGCGAAATAAAAAAGCCCATTGAAACACATTGAAAACTGCTCAATGCGTTCCAATGGGCTAAATACCTCAGCGTCCAGCGAAGATCCTCCATAGGGTGGCCATTTTCCGATGCCTGTGCAGCAAAAAATCCATCCTAAAGCACAGCGGGGAGCCATTTTACACAGTGGGCGGCCATTTTGAAACCCAACGATCAGCTGTTTTGATCATCGTAATGGGGATAATCGGTTCCCGAAGCATGGAACCGATCATCGGGAAGCGAATTTTGCCCATTAAAACATCGTTTAGCGATCACAAAAGTGATCGCAAAAACCTCATCAAGCGCATTCGTTATTTAATGAGGTAATCGTTAAGCGAGGCACCACTGTATATCCGGGAGTTCGATTCTCTGCTGTGCCTAAAGCGGCACAGTCCCAAGGCTCCCCCCAAGAAGAGGGTAAGAAGAAACCACTTCTGACTCTTCTCCACCCAGAAATCCCTGAAAGGGGTCATTATAAGTCAGAAATGCCTTGACGATACACATTGATCTATTTTGGATGGTACACCTGAGGTTCAAATTAAAAGGGGGAAGGGATGCCTGGAGAAGACAGCCGAAGCTGAGCACTTCCTCCATGCAAAGCCTGAACTGTGCTGTCATCGGATTCTGATAATGCTTTTATTGTTGTTTCAGGTGTCTGGGCTCTTGGCTGAGGTGGGCCTGTATTCCTCCAAAGCAAAAGGAACAGCACCGGGTAGCTGCCAACAGGACAAGCAGAAGGGGCAGAGTGATGCTTCTTCCATGGGTATGTTGCCACAAGGCCTTTATTACTGGCATAGCAGGAGTTTGTCTGCATTTCCAAAGAAGGCCAGGAGGGGAGAGGTGGTCTCGTCTATTTGTTTATTTAGTGGATTCATAGCCTACCTTCCGCCTCCTGTGTTATTAACTTTAAATTAAAGAATACAGTTAAAATATATACAATATAAAATGAGGACTGACGGTTCAAACAGAATTAAATGAAAGGGCAAGGCTGGAAATGCAATATCAAAGATACAATGGCCAGAATGTAATAGTAGAGTTACATTTCTTTAAGGAAAAATCACATTAAATCTTGGTAACAAGTTCTTCTTCATTTTAAAAAAAAGTGGCCAGCCGAGCAGAGAGACGGCCGAGCTACTTCCACGATTGGTGGGAAGAGCGGGACGCTGGGTGGTGTGGTGGCACATGAGTGGACAGGCTGGTTCCGAGGGTGGGACCCACATTAGTTGCAACTGGGATGGGTATATTCATACTGTCTTCATTTACGAATACAAATATCCCCATCTCTACTCCCATCCTCTTGCTCTGCATCCAGATCCTTAAACCACAGAGGTATCCAGCCAGCTTAAGGAAGTGAGGCAGATAATAATGGCAGAAGGACCTCTTTTGCTGCATTCTTTTTTCTTTTCCAGTTCCTCAAGCCTACCTGGGAGGTTCTGACTTATGAAAATCCCGTTCCTCTTGCCAAGCTCTAATTCTACCAGGATTCAGGAGAAATTCTGCTGTTATCCTGTTCAAATAGGTGTTTTCATTGTATCTTAGCAGATCCTGTGCCGATGCAGGAGAAGGGAGCAGCTATGCATCCAGAAAGTTCAAAGAAGGAGGAATCCCCGGAGAACGGCATGGCAGACTTGGGTACCCGGCCAGACATGGCAGAAAGTGACAAGACGCCCCCTTCTGGCTTGAAACCTCACAAGTGCTCCGAGTGTGGGAAAAGGTTCCACCAGATTTCCCACCTTAACAGACACTTGAGAATCCACACGGGAGAGAAACCGTACAAGTGCTTGGATTGCGGGAAAAGTTTCACGCAAGGGTCCTGCCTGCTCGGTCACCAAAGGATCCACACGGGCGAGAAAGCCTATTCGTGCTCTTACTGCAGCAAAAGTTTCATCTGGAGTTCCGGCCTGCACCAACATGAAAAAATCCACCTGGGAGAGAAACCTTACAAGTGTTTAGAGTGTGGGAAGAGTTTCCACCGGAGTTCAGCGCTCACTGACCACGTGAGGTCCCACACGGGAGAAAAACCGTACACTTGCTCCGATTGTGGGAAAGGGTTCAGCCAGCATTCCAACCTCATTGTGCATCGGAGGGTCCACACAGGAGAGAAACCGTACACGTGCTCGGTCTGCGGGAAAAGCTTCACTCGGACAGCGCTGCTTATGGCCCACCTGAGAATCCACACGGGAGAGAAACCGTACAAATGTTTGGTCTGTGAAAGAAGCTTCAGGGAGAGACCTGCTCTCACAAAACACAAAAAAATCCACATGAGAGAGAATTTGTAGCAAATAGAGATCTTAGGGGAAAGCGTCGGTCTTGGTGTTCTTGATCTCTGTACAATCATCTTCCACTTTGTTCACTAAAGTCTCCCGGTAGCAAATAGAGATCTTAGGGGAAAGCGTTAGTCTTGGCTTTCTTTATCTCTGTACAATCAGCTTCCACTTTGTTCACTGAAGTCTCCCACCATCATCAGTGCCAGCCTTTCAAATCTAGGGCTTGCAGTAGGTCTGGGTTTGTCACACCATCATCGTTGCCAGCCTTTCAACTCTAGGGCTTACCAAGTGGGGCAAACACCAACTCATAAGGGTTTTTATCCTTTTGCAAAATGAGCCCATGCTTCCTTGCTATTGGCTGGAGCTGATGTGATGTCACGGAATGCATTCTGATTGCGCAAGGGAGACAGGCTGCGCTTCAGTGCGGAAGAGCACAGCTCAGTCACAGGGAAGAGAAGGACTAAGCTGCCTCATAGGGGAGCCGAGGATTGCATTACAGAGGGTCAGAATACCTATGGGTATAGAAAATGGAGGATTTGGAGGGAGCAAGGGTTGGGTCAGGAAACCTAAAGGAAAGGGAAGTCCACCAGCTGCTTTATGGAGGCTGAATTTCACATCATTAACCAGCTACGTACTAAGCTATAAGTCTTGTGTATAAAGATTTGATGGAAACTCCAGTTCTAAAGAGACCAACCTCCTGCCACTGACGATTAGGTCATCTTCCTTGTTTTGAGTTCTCTAAAGACCTCTGTAGCACAAAGCAAGAGTTGAGTTGAGAGAGAAACGGCTGGAATCCTGTTGCGTAGTGTACCAAGCTGCACTAGAGTAGGCCCATTGAATCAATGGGGATTTGGTGAGTCAACTCCTTCATTGATTCAAATGGATCTACTACCCTCATTGCAACTTAATTATGCTAAAGTAAGTCACAACTAGAGTAAGCCTATGCGAACCCATGAAAGTTGAGGAAGAGTTGATTCAGCAAATCCTGGTGATTTGATGGGCCTGCTCTACTGCAACTCACTAGCTTAAGCAACAGGATTTCAGCCATTATGAGGCAGTGGAGGAGAGAGACTTTCCAGCACATTGGCTGTCAGGTTGTTTCTCCAAGTCTTTGGAAATAAAATATTTTTTTTCTGGAAGACTGTACCTAGAATCCCTGAGCTACTTAACTGGACGGTTTGAGGTGTTCTCGTCGAGAAAAAAAGATAACTTTTAAAAGAAAACTTACTTCTGGCCTCAGTTCAGACTATCCCTTTCTCCAGGAGGGCAAGGTGTGGCGCAGAACCTGAAGCCATTACATTTTTTGGACAACTGCTCCCACAACGCACTGATCCGTTGCGAAGCTAACTCGAGGATTCTGGGATCTGTAGGAAAGGAGAAGAGAAGAAAAAGTAACATTTCTGAACTGTGCTTCTTGCCCAACTGTTATGCCGGAGGAACAAGTGGGAAGAATATTTGCACACATTGGGCTTCCGTAGTAAAGATGGGCCTCCAATTTTTTGGCTGCATGAAATTTCTCCACACATAATCCAGGGTGGGGGACCAGTGGTTGACATTGGTGGGCACTTCCTGAGGCGCCGGTAATCCTGGTAACCTCCAGAGCCAGCTGCTCATCCTTTCTTCCCTTACTGGAGCGTGCTAAGGGCTACTGCAATCAGGAGCACCATTTTTTTGCTTAATGTGCAGGATGGCAATCACCAGAGGTCCAGAAAACGTGCACACACCCATTGCGGTGCTTGGAGGTCCACACTGCTTCTACAACTCCCCCTGGCTACTTTTCATTATGATTTTTTTTTAGATTGAAAATGCCCCCTTATGTCTTCTAGGGGCTAAAAATTGGATGCTGAAGAGAGCTCAGAACATTGCAGAATAACATCTGGCCATTTGAGAAGGGTTTTTTTTTTCAAATTGGACTTTTGCTCTGTTGCTGTTAAATGTGTTTTTAGTAGGGATTTTATTTACCATTTGTAACATTATACTGATTTCATTCTTTTTAAATATTTCTTTTAGTAGGGATTTTATTTACCATTTGTAATATTATACTGGTTTCATTCTTTTTAAATATTTCAATACTTACTGTTTTTAGCTTTTAAATACTGTCTTTTTAAATGATGTAAGCCACCTTGGGTCCTTGTAAGGAGAAAGGCAAGGTAAAATATTTTACATAAATAATAAACAAACAACTGGGTCCTAGATCAAATCAAGTCTGAACTCTCTCTCTGGAGGGGAAATTTTTTTGAAATAGAGGTTGTCCTATGTTGGGCACCTCATAAGAAGACAGGATTCAGTGGCAAAAAACAATAATTCTGAGAAAAAGGCATTTAATATGGTCCTTGATTAATTCTTTTTTACTATTTGTACACTTACTGGTTTTAGCTTTGAATTTTTTTTAATGATGTAAGCTGGCTTGGGCCCTTTGTAGGAGAAAGGTGGCATAAAACTATTTTAATAAATAAATTAATAAATTATAGAGAGCACAGTGATTCTTTTTGAGCCCATATATATAAATATATAGTCGTATGAAACATCAGTTATTTTGGCAAGAGTTTCATAGGGCTAGGGAATCCTGGAGATGCTGGAGAATTGCATTTGGCCCCCACATGGCGTAACCCTCCTCTTGTGTTAATTGGACCCCCAAAAAGAGGGGAAGCAACTGGGCACCACTCCCAGTGGTATAATGAGGGCATATCTCATAGCGTTAAAGCACTGCAATATTTTGATTCGCTGAGGTGATTATGATATTTGCCACCCCTCTTTGGACTTCCTGTCCTGTCTGAGTGTAAGTGTAATCCAGAGAACCCTTAAGGTATGGGGAGTGGGTTCCTATCCCTCCCATCATTAGTATATTACTGTGGGCTACCCTTGTTTAAATGCAAAGTATCTTGTGAGAGGGAGTTCATGACCTTGAATGGGAAGTTAGGAGTCGTTGACTTTACAAAAGACCTGTTCGTGCTGAGGAAGGAGCTGCTAGAACTGATTTGAGGATACTGCGTCTTGCATTTCATGTACAGTATTACTGTCTGTTCTCCCAGTCTTGTGTGCCTGTCCTGCTTCTCTTGTGCTGTTATTGTGGAGACTTTTCTTTTTACAATCAGCCAAGAGGCATGAAGTGAAGTTTTATGTCAGGAAAGTGTTTATGATGCTAGCTAACAGAGACTATCAACGCAGCAATCCGTGGAAGGAGAGCAAAGAAGGAAGGAAAACAAGGCTATGTCCGATGAAATGGACGTGTCCACGAAAGCTCACATTAAAATATAATAGTTAGTCTTTAAGGTGCCACATTTTTTGGTCTTTAAAAAAAATTGTCCTTCATTTTGTTTCTTTGGATTTTGCCTGCTATGCTTGCACAGACTAACACGGCTACCTCTTCCAAAACTGCAAGGATGCAGGAGTACCGTAAATCTATAGAAAATATATGCAAAGGGCCATAAAAGCTACATTAAATTGGTATTTCTATGGCAATGTCTTTCCCAGGATATATCCGCCTAGAATGGTCTTATAAGCCAGATGGGCGAGGTATAAAATAAATAAATAAATAAAATATCCAAAAGGAAAACATTTCTTTGGGCCTCTGTTTTTCTTCTCTAAGCGATAATTTCCTTCAGGAGATCAGGAAATAAACTTCTACTGTTTTATGATACTGGGGTTTTATGGTTCGGATTGCTGGAGGATGATTCCCCCTCCCCCATCGTTCACTGGGAGACACCACAGTTTGCTATACATAAGAAAACATTTGTATATTTGCTAATTCTAACATATGTTATTATATCTCAAAGTTACAATGAGAAGGGATCTTCTAGTTGACACTAAAAAATGAACTTAAAAAAAATAAATAAAAAGAAGCCAATAAAAATGGAACTGAAAGCACAGCAAATACCACGAAAGGCCAAACTTATTCAGATAGTTTAGGGCTTAAACACAGACCCGGGAGGGGGGGATATATGGGCCTCTAAGTGCCATTGGATTACAACTCCCATTGTCACTGTTTGTTCAGCTCAGCTGGGTTGATGGGATGTTGAGTCTAGCAGCATCACACTATTTGAATCCTGGTAATAACAATAATAAGAGAGTCTGGGAACTTGAGGGAAATTTGGGTAACCCTTTTATTGATTTTTTAAAGTTTTGAGTATGATTTCCAGGTTCTGTAAAGGAAATACTTTGTCCTTCTTTCTTGTTGTTCCAAATTGTGAGCAGGGACGATGGTTGATAAATGTTTGGTTTTTAATGATAATATACATGTATAAATATTAATAAATTTATATTTATAATGAGATGTGCTTTCTAAGTTCTTTGAGTACTTTCTTGGGTCTGAAATGAGTGGTGTTGAGGCCCCACAGTAGAGATTTTGTAGTGAGAAAGCCAACTAATTTTCAAGGTAAAGAGCCTGCTATTGTTTATATACCATCAAGTCTCCTCCAATTCATGGCAGTCCTATGTCCTGTCTTCAACTGCCTTGCTCAGCTCTTGTGAACTCAAGCCTCTGGTTTCCTTTAGGGAGTATGTCTGTCTCTTATTTGGTCTTCCTCTTCTCCTGCTGCCTTCCACCTTGCCCGGCATTATTGTCTTTCCCAGAGAATCCTGCCTTCTCATGATGTGCTCAAAGTAGGACAGCCTCAGTTTCAACATTTCGCCTCCAGAGATAATTCAGGTTTGATTTAATCTAGGAACCTACTCTTCTCTATTGCTGCCAGTTATGTATCTTCCTTAATTTTTCTTTCTGTTTTTTTATGTCCTGATCATGGCTAATGAGGGCTACATTTAATACAGAATTCACACAAAGTATCTGTGGATAGGTGCCACCCCACCCCATTAATCATCTGTGACAGCCTTCAAAGGCAGGCCTCCCCATTTGCTATGTGGAAAAGATCAAGCAATGGAGTGTTCACAAAAACATGGATCCCTCTGTGAGCATTACCCTAACCTAGCTAGCCA